GGGGGTGTTCGATGCTGCACGCACACGACTATGATATTGAGACTGAACTTTTGTCCTTTTATTTTGGCGTTATGATTAGATCCATGGTGCACACACTTCGAAGAAAAGTATTTATAGAGAACAACGACCGGCAGCCATGACAGTGCGTGGTCTAGGTGAACAAGACTATGGTGTCATTTATCATGTTAGATTACATTATGTATAAAAATGAGAAAAAAATAGTATGATAAACCTGTGTGTTCAAATCTGTACAATTATGAACACTTACAACGAATGCTCCATCAACCGCTAAAGAAGTAGTAAAACAGACATCGAACTGTCAGTCACTTTTTTTTCAACGAAACATCATAGAAGACAGTCGTACCAATTCATGCCACCCACCCACCGACCCACCTTCCATCTATAAAGCACAAATCTGCAATTAATGTATTCTCCTTACTCTCTTTCTTGTTCATTTTGAGTGCAATACCCCCCCCCCCCTTTTTTTTCACCAAAACCCACTCTTCAACCCCTGGAAAACCAACATGACCCTCACCTTGCCTTCATATATTATGTGTCTTTTGTGCGCTTTCAACGTTTCATATGCAATGCTACATATTCTTTACAATCGAAGTGTGCTTGCTTTTTTTGTACAATTACCGATAAATACACATGTATATTAACTGATGTGTTATTTATGCCCATATCATATACATATACTTAAACATTATTAATAATATATATACATAATATACATGAACAAATCGTATTTTGACACGATCCTCTCATAAATAAAACTCTTGTTCACTCCCTTTCACTCTCCTTAACTATGATAGGATTTTTTTCCTCGGCTCTTTTGTCGCGCTTGCATTGACTGAACGTGATAATCCGCAGCATGAATCCAGCCCACCCAAGCCATCACCTACCTTTCCTGCTAAGACAATCTTGATGCTTAACCCTAAAACATAAACGCAGTGACGCACTTGCGAGTGTACATACTCACCCCCCCCCTATACACACATACTAATTAAAAAAAACCCACACACATACAATTTAACATACACAAAAAACACGCACACATACGCATAGCAGGTAGTTGGAGAGCGCCACTGGTAGGTCCTACTTCCTTTTTTCACTGTCTGTCTGTCTTACATTTTCCAAGCACTGAATAACCATTACTGTGTCGATGGCTTCTCTGTACTTAAACAAACAAACAAACAAACAAACATACCCATATTGACGCACATAAATCCACGCGCGCGCACACACACACACACACACACACACACACACACACACACACACACACACAC